ATCCAAAAACGTCATTCCCGGCTCAACAGCTCGTTTGGCCACCTGCCGTCTGATACGAGGCTGCCACAAGGGAAGCGCCTGCGTCATCGAGGCTGATCATCCGCCATCCGCCAAGTCCGCCGCCGCGGTGCCTGTCCATGCGTCCTCCTCGTCCTCCTCGCCATCTTCCAAGTCATCGTCGCCGTTGTGGTCGTCGTGGCCCTCTTCGCCGGCGCCTGTCGCTGTCGTCGTCATCGTCCTCTTCTTCCTCCTGCTGCCCTCCCCTCAGGACGGCGACAACCATACACTATACAGTAAACACACACACTGGTCCTGGCCAGGCCGATCCTGGGCTCAAGATCGGTGCATACGCCCTCCTGGTTGGCCATGGAAACACATGCACCGATCCTGTGCCAGAATCGGCCTGGCCGGGATCGAGACGTGCATGTGTGTGTGGCTCACTCCAACGCCTCCACCCACTCCCGCGGGTCCGTCGTCGCAAGCGCAGCGGGCGGCGCTGCGGACGTAGATCCGTCGGCGGCGCTGGCGCCGTTACCGGCGTTGGGCTGCTCGTGCGGAGGGGCTGGCTTCAGGAAGGTGGATGGCATCCAGCCTGCGGGGGGGCTTCTTCGAACGAGGAGCGAGCGACGGAGAGGAGGGCTCAAGCGCTGGCTCGTGTCATTGCTGTAGCAAGACGTGTTCAAGTATTGGTCACTCGGGCGTCCGTTGGCCGGCGTTCTTGAAAACACATCCCCCTGCACATGGCTGGATTCTGATCTGCAGAGGGTCCCTCCCCAACATGTGTATTCACCGTCCATCCTCCTGGGCCTGCACCCCATGTCTTGGATTGCACTTCTGGACTTCTGGGATTGAATCATGACTAGAGTCCTAGACCCAATCTGTCTGCGACAATTTTCGAGCTGGGTGGACCTTCGATGGTCCTTGGGCCGAAACCGAGCGAACACGCCCGGCGTGAAAAACTGCAACGCCTGGATCCCAGGGGCCATTCGGGCATAGACTCGCTTCGCCCTAGTGTCGCTTTGCCCAGACTCGTTTTGCCCAGACTCGCTTCGCCCAGACTCGCTTCGCCCAGACTGGCTTCGCCCAGACTGGCTTCGCCCAGACTCTCTTTGCGCAGGCCCGCTTCGCCCAACTTGGCCAGATGTACTTCGCCCGACACGCTTCGCCTACGCGCCCGAAGCAACCCGCCCGCCCTGCACAGGTGCCAAATCGACGATGCATCATACTGTGTTATGCTGTAATGCTCCGCCCGCCAGCAAGGCGAAGAGTTGAGACAACGGCAACTCAACATGGGCCTCCGAACCCCCTTCTGGGGTCCAAACGCAGCAGTGGTCCGAGCCGCGCCCAGCCGTGGTCACGAGGGCCCCCCACCACCCGAAGACCACTTGCCGCTGTCTCAACTCGCCCTCCTCTGATCCCCTCTGACCGCCCCCCCCGCCTCCCCCTGCGCCTCCCCTCTGGAGACCGTCGCCGTCGGCCGTCGTCGTCGCCGCGCCGCCACCACCCTCGCCGCCACCATCGCCGTGGGCGCGCGCGCCCGCGCCTGCGCGGAACGGCTCGCCGCGGTGGCAGCCCCACCACCAGCCGGCCTTGCTCCAGAGGAGCACCTGGCGCCCACGGCAGGCCAAGATGGGGCGCCGTCGTCGTCCTCGTCGTCGTTATCGCCCAGGGCATGGGGACAGACGGAGGCAGGGAGGAAGGGATGGAGGAAGCGGAGGAAGGAAGGGATGAAATCAGGAACAGAAGGGAGAAGAGGGGAAACGAGGAAGGGAGGAAGGGAACGACGGATGAAGAGGGGGTCATCAGGGATGGGAACGATGAGTGGTGAAGGGACCGAAGGAATCCGCCCCGCCGAGCCCCGCTTGCATGTGGTGCCAAGGCATATGAGACATTTGGCTGCCCCCCCCGCCACTTTTCCCCTCGCTTGGGGTCCAACATGCAGTTAAAGGGGGGGTGGCCGTTCCCCCCACCCCCCCCACAGGGCCTACGAGCTCGTCAGCGCTTCTGCCAGTGCTTCTGGAGCCCCTGGAGAGCCCCAAGAAGGCCCAAACAGAGACCCAAGATAGTCCAAGAGAGCGCCCAGCTGGCCCAGGATTTGTTTTGACAGGCGCCCTGAACCCAAGCCTCAACTCAAGTTAACGATGAGGAACAAACTAGTTCACCCGACATTGCGGGTCAGTCTGAAATTCTTGAAGATCGCTCGTCTGGCGAAAGATCACCCTTTTCGCGAATCAGATCAACTCGCTTCAGCCAAGGGGTCGACGAACACTTCGCAAACAACAAACGCGCCAGCGAGCCTGAGATGTTTACCCTGGCGGAGGGCCCTCAGAACTGAAGCCGCATATTTGCTCTTCCTGGACTCTTCGGGTCCATGCTTACATACAATGCGAAGCTTCTTAAAACGGCCGCCACAGCTATACCCGCAACGCAAGTAGCAAACTTACCCTGGCGACGTACCCAACCCTTGCGCAATGCGGGGCTTAAATACACCAATATTGCTACAACGGGGGCGATGACGTAACATGGACGCATGTGATTTTGCGAGCAACAATCGGAAGGCTCGCAGGCCTCCGATCAAGATATAAGGGATACGTAATAACAAATCACCCCCGTTGGCTGTGCCATGCGCCCGTTGCACCCAACGTATCCCGCAACAACTCTTGAGAGCCCCCGCGGGATACGTGTAGGCGCAACGTTATGGCCATCGCCCGGCAGGGGTCTGTTTCACAAATCACCCCAAATTGGCTGCGCCATGCGCCCGTTGCGCCTAACGTATCTCACAGCAGCTCTCCAAACCTCCACAGAGACGGCGAGGTCTCGCTCAGATCCCCGCGGTGCCTCACTCAGCAGGACCCACCAGCAGCCATCGAAAGTGGCGACAGCGTCGCAGATCGCAGCCCCCCAGGGACGGCGAGGTCTCGCTCAGATCCCCGCGATGCCTCACTCAGCAGGACCCACCAGCAGCCCTCGAAGGTGGCGACAGTGTCGCAGTTCGCAGTCCCCCAGGGACGGCGAGGTCTCGCTCAGATCCCCTCGGTGCCCACCAGCAGCCCTCGAAAGTGGCGACGGTGCGAGGTCTCGCTCAGATCCCCGCGGTGCTTCACCCCGCAGGACCCACCAGCAGCCCTCGAAAGAGGCGGCGGCGTCGCAGATCGCAGCCCCCCCCCAGGACGGCGAGGTCTCGCTCAGATCCCCGCGGTGCTTCAGTCCGCAGGGCCCACCAGCAGCCCCCGAAAGTGGCGACAGTGTCGCAGATCGCAGCCCCCCAGGGACGGCGAGGTTTCGCTCAGATCCCCGCGGTGCTTCAGTCCGCAGGACCCAGCAGCAGCCCTCGAAAGTGGCGACGGCGTCGCAGATCGCAGCCCCCCCCAGGACGGCGAGGTCTCGCTCAGATCCCCGCGGTGCCTCACTCAGCAGGACCCACCAGCAGCCCTCGAAACTGGCGACAGCGTCGCAGATCGCAGCCCCCCAGGAACGGCGAGGTCTCGCTCAGATCCCCGCGGTGCCTCACTCCGCAGGACCCACCAGCAGCCCTCGAAACTGGCGACAGCGTCGCAGATCGCAGCCCCCCCCAGGGCGAGGTCTCGCTCAGATCCCCGCGGTGCCTCACTCCGCAGGACCCACCAGCAGTCGAAAGTGGCGACAGTGTCGCAGATCGCAGCCAACTAGGGACGGCGAGGTCTCGCTCAGATCCCCGCGACGCCTCAGTCAGCAGGACCCACCAGCAGCCCCCGAAAGTGGCGACTGTGTCGCAGATCGCAGCCCCCCAGGGACGGCGAGGCCTCGCTCAGATCCCCGCGGTGCCTCACTCAGCAGGACCCACCAGCAGCCCTCGAAAGTTGCGACGGTGCGCAAATCGCAGCCTCCCCAGGACGGCGAGGTCTCGCTCAGATCCCCGCGGTGCCTCAGTCCGCAGGACCCACCAGCAGCCCTCGACAGTGGCGACAGCGTCGCATATCGCAGCCCCCCGGGGACGGCGAGGTCTCGCTCAGATCCCCGCGGTGCCTCACTCAGCAGGACCCACCAGCAGTCCCCGAAACTGCCGACAGAGTCGCAGATCGCAGCCCCCAGGGACGGCGAGGTTTCGCTCAGATCCCCGCGGTGCCTCACTCTGCAAAACCCAGCAGCAGCCCTCGAAAGTGGCGACGGCGTCGCAGATCGCAGCCCCCCAGGGACGGCGAGGTTTCGTTCAGATCCCAACGGTGCCTCACCTCGCTGGACCCACCAGCAACCCTCGAAAGTGGCGACAGCGTCGCAGAGCGCAGCTCCCCAGGGATGCACACACAAGAGGTACCGCAGCCAGGATGCACACACACAAACAAACACACACACACACACACACACACACACACACACACACACACACACGCACACACACACACACACACGCACATACACACACACGAGGCACGCGCAAGGCAAGAGGAGACAAGACGGAAGCGGGAGACGGGAGGCGGGAGGAGAAGGAGGGACGCGACCACATTGCTCCATTCAAAACGAATACCCAACCAAGGAGGGTTGGGAAATACAGCATGCTTGAATTAGACACAATGAAGGGCCGTGATCTGGTGGCCTCTCCCTCGGATGGCGAGGGCCACTTCGGGAGGCTTGCCAGAGCACCCCGAAACGCTGGGCTTCAGGTCCTGGCGGCGGGAGCGGAAGCAAATCGCACAGCGCCAGAACGTGGCACGCCGGACCCGCGCACGATGAAACTGCTCCGCAGGAGGGGGAAGCGGGACCACATAGCCGCTAGCATCTATATATATATATATGTGTATATACATATATATATATATATATATATATATATATATATTCGACCCCGTCAAAGTCGATCTTGGGCCAGGATGGTAAGATCCCGGCGGCAAGACGCGAGACATTCTTGGCAACCTTGAGCTGCCAATCGACACTGTTAAGCTCAATCTTCGACCCGCAGGGATGCAGGCAGGCACCTCGCTTGGCGGCCCTGTCGGCCTCGCCGTCCCCTTCCTTGAGGTAGCGCTGAACAGGTGCGAAATCGGGAGAATCCGTCTCATGTGCCTTCACTTTGTGAAGGTTGTTCAACTTAGAACTGAGCGCATTGATCATGGGCCCTGCGTTGGACCGCTTATAGGAGAGCCGCTCGGCCACCCTGGAAGAGAGCTTTGCAACATTGAGGCTGCCACTATAGCCTTCCGAGGACACCAACAGACAAAGCGAACCATGGGCTGAACTACTAAACCTGGCAGCCTGGGAGGTCCGGGGGAAACTGTCCCAAGGGGGGCCCATTGGAAAACTCGATATGAATCGTGAACCGCCATGCCCCATCTTGCCCCGCTTAATTCGATACTTACTTGGCGCCTACCGGACCTATCGGAGAAAGTATCACCTGAAAAGCACTTGCTCGTCTGATGTATCCTGCTGGGGGCCTGCCCATTCGACCGTTGGAAAAGGCTTCTTTGGAGGGCCTGGGGAGGGCGTCGCACGGGTGCGTGAAGATACCTTCGGTGAAAAGGTTGAAGGGTTTCGGCGGACGCGGAAGAGAGGTCGACATCGCAGCTAGCCTGCAACGAGCCAGGGTCGCAAAGTTCCTGAGATCCTCGGCCGCTGGGCAAACCCACGTCCGATGCCAAATGGATTCCGAGGGACCGCCACGCAAGGCGCAGCACACATGCGGAACTTGATCCCCGATGGGAAACAACTCTGCCCCTGGGTCCAGCAAGCCCCGCAAACATTGGCTCGAATGCATCCATTCTCGAGAAGCGACTAATTCGAGCCGCGAAGGTCGCGGATCATAGAGTCGTAGCAAGCTCGGCCTTGAAGCCCGAGCTTCTGCCCTGACAGACGGCATAAAGACCCGGCCACTCCTTCGCGCAGAGATGTCTTGATGAGCTGGGGGGAGGTGATGGCGACGGGGTAGGCCGCGCCGCTGGCTGCAGCATCTGGCGCGGAGTGGGGCCCGGCGCAGGCGGGCACCAGGTTGGCGGGCCGCCGCGCGGCTGCAGGCCCGGCCCTCCTGGCACCGGGGGGCACTCCCAACATGTTTTGGATCGCGGACTCCGCCTCCGTGCCTGGCCACACAGGGGTAACAGGGGCCTCCAGCGCCGGGCTGTCGCTCCCAGGCCCGGGCGACGCGGCGTCCTCCAGCGGCAGGCCGTCGGAGTCGTCCCGCTGCGGCACGTCCCGCGCGATGTGCAGCGGCAGCTCGGGCAGATCGACCTGCATCCCCGCCGCACCGATCAGTGCCAGCTCGTCACCGTACAGCTGGTCTGGCACGTCGTCGAACCCGTAGACTCTCAGAGGGTCGACGCCCTTGGGCAGCGTCTGGGCCGTCTGTTGGACGAAGAAGGCCCTGATGGCCTGATGGCGGCGCCCTCGATCAGCGGTGCTTCTGCATAGTGTCCGCCGTCGGGCGAGACCCCGAAGAACCTGTAGGGCGGACCAGCGTCCGTGGTCACCACCAGCCTCTGGTGGAGCACGCGCGGGCCGCCCACATCGTACTCCATAAACACGAACTGTCCTGCCCGCGCCTGCGCCATCAGGCCCTGTCGGACTCGATCGCCCTGGGGTCGCGGCGCCTGACCAGCAGCGCCTGACGGCGGGCCAACTGCCCGAGGCTATCGCCAGCCGCCTAGGGCGCAGGCGACTCACCTGGCTGAGCCCGCTGCCAGCTTGCCCCCGCGGCGAAGGCGCAGAACAGCCCTGCCGAAAGGAGGCTGACGGCCGAGATGGTGGCCGTCCAGTTCGGCCCCACGCAGGTGCACACCTGCGGTTTCGGCCCCTGGCGGTGCAGCTGCGGCGCACACGGCGGGCACCCAGGAGCGCCGCCCCACAGAGCGATGCCCGTGCCCACGCCCCGGGCCAACTCCTGGATCGCGAAGTGAGCAGCTTGTTGCACCACCGAGAAACTACAGAGCAGAAGACGGCGTCGGAACGACGGCGACAGACAACAACGTGCAAGCACTGACATTATGCATCCAAATCATCCTGTGGTGTTGGGCCCTCGTTTTGAAGAGACAGCGCCGCGCGTCCCTCCTCCTCCTCCTCCTCCTCCGCCTCCTCCTCCTCACTTCCCCTTCCTCTCTCCCTCCTCCCATCATCACCATCATCGGCATCATCATCATCATCATCATCATCATCATCATCATCATCATCATCATCATCATCATCATCATCATCATCAGCATCATCATCATCATCATCATCATCATCATCATCATCATCATCATCATCATCATCATCATCATTGTTATCATCGCCATCGCCACCGTGATTGTCGTCGTCATCATCATCACCAACGTCATGGCCATCAGCATCATCATCATCATCATCACCATCATCATCATCATCGTCATCATCATCATCATCACCATCATCATCATCATCATCATCATCATCATCACCCTAATCAGCATCATCATCATCATCATCACCACCACCACCACCATCCTCATCATCCTCATCATCATTACCACCATCATCATTATGGGGTCATCATCACCAGCATCATCATCGTCATCATCACCATCATCGCCATCGCCTTCGTCACACCCCTGACACGCGTCGTGGCCCCATAGGGAGCTCCACCTAAGGTCCCAGTGGCGCAGTCCCTATGGCGGCGCCGCCCCATCTTGGCACACCCCTCACACGCCTCGTGGCCCCATAGGGCGCTCCACCTAAGGTCCCAGTGGCGTAGTCCGCTTGGCGGCGCCGCCCCATTTTGGCACACCCTTCACATGCTTCGTGGACTCACAGGGAACCCCACCTAAGGTCCCATTGGCGCAGTCCGCATGGCGGCGCCGCCCAATTTTGCAACACGCCTCACACGTTTCGTGGCGCCATAGTGAGCTCCACCTAAGGTCCCAGTGGCGCAGTCCCTATGGCAGCGCCGCCCCATCTTGACACACCCCTCACACGTCTCGTGGCCCCATAGGGAGCTCCACCTAAGGTCCCAGTGGCGCAGTCCCTATGGCGGCGCCGCCCCATCTTGGCACACCCCTCACACGCCTCGTGGCCCCATAGGGAGCTCCACCTCAGGTTCCTGTGGCGCAGTCCACATGGCGCCGCCGCCCCACCTTGGCACACCCCTCACACGTTCCGTGGCCCCATAGGGCGCTCCACCTCAGGTCCCAGAGGCGCAGTCCGCATGGCGGCGCCGCCCCATTTTGGCACACCCCTCACATGCTTCGTGGCCTCACAGGGAACCCCACCTAAGGTCCCATTGGCGCAGTCCGCATGGCGGCGCCGCCCCATTTTGGCACACATCTTTCACGTTTTGTGGCCCCATAGGGAGCTCCACCCCAGGTCCCAGTGGCGCAGTCCGCCCAATTCTGGCACTCCCCTCAGGGAGCTCCACCTAAGGTCTCAGTGGCGCTGTCCGTATGGCGCCGCCGCCCCATCTTGGCACACCCTTCACATGTTTTGTGACCCCATAAAAGGGGGCCCTACATCAGGCCTCAGTAGCAGCGCTCGCTTGCCGGCCCCGCTCCATCCCGGCACACTCTGCACGCGCTTCGTGGCCGCATGAGGAGATCCACAAAAGGCGATAGTAACAACGACGGTTTTCACAACTGCATGTGGTGGGGTCCTTTGGCAAGCTAAGTTCAGCATGCTCGCCTTCTTGACAGTGTCTAGTACGGCGAAACTGGCATCAAAGATCGCCCAACGACATCCCATGAGGCCCCCAAGAAGGCCCCAAGACGGCCCAAGGGGCTCTCAAGACTGACCAAAAGAGCGCCAATAGGGCCGTAAGAGGGGCCCAAGAGGGGGAATGCGAATTGGCATTTCCCGAGCCTTTCCCCGCAAGATGGCACTAAGAGACCCCCAGAGGCCCAAGAGGCGCCCCGAAGAGGTACCAAGAGGTTTCCACGAGGCCCCCAAGAAGCCCTCAATGGGGCCCTCAAGAAGCCCCGAAAAGCAACCTTGATGCCCTCAAGAGGCTCAAACTGGGGTGTCGGCGGACTGGCGTAAGCCACCTGAGTGATGACACAGAAGACTGATGGATGGAAGGAGGATGTGGGGACGAGAAGAATGGAGGATATGTGATCGGATGGAGTGTATTGGAACGCGCGGGTAGGTTGGGAAGCATAGAAAGATAAGGGAGCAAGAAATGCAACAGATGTGAGGCTGATGGGGACTGGAAGGTAAGCTGGCCAAAACAAGCCAGCGACATCGGTTTGGGCCGAACTATCGAAGGAAACGACAGGGGCCATAAGCATGGGGCTGAGGAAGAGCGGTAAGTTCCCTGTTCGAAATCAGCGCTCGGTAACGGCCTAGGCCGAACTACCACCCCGCCTTGCGTGCGGAGCGCATCCGCAAACTCCAGACTGGCCCGACCTGGCACCGAAGCTTCTTTTGCGAGCATCCTGCGCGACGTCGGCACCCTGCGCTAGCCGACGCTGCCTCCGCCCTCCCCCCCGGACTCACCTCACCTTCTCACCTTCTTTCGGGCACACGCTAACGTGGACTACGGATCCGAGGATCTAGCGCAAGGGCGCCAGATCCACGGACGGACAAGTACCACCCCGAAACATGAAGCCCATGCCGCCTGATCTGGCGACGGAGCACGTCGGCCACGCATGGAAGCGAGACCGTCATTCTCTGCCTTCCCCCCCATCGACCCACGCTCTTCGCCGCTCATTCCCCGCATCGGCCCTTTCCAGCCGCACCCTCTGCCCTCGGCCTCCACCCCCGCGGGCGAAGCTCCTCGAGCCCTCGACGCCCCCTCGCCCCCCCCCCCCCGCGAGCGCCTCGAGCTCTTCCCCCGCGCCGAAGGACAGGCACCCCGGCGCCTCTGCAGGGTGGCCGCACCTGGCTCGGGCGTGGGTGGAGGTCGGAGGCTGGGCTCCGCAACCTTTCAGCGCACGAGCACGTGTCGAGCGAACTGCTTTCTGATGATAGGCACGGCCAGTGGAGGAGGAGGAGGAGGAGGAGGAGGAGGAGGAGGAGGAGGAGGAGGAGGCGGGGGAGGAGGAGGAAGATCACCCTCCTGCGCTTGGCAGATGAACCCTGCCATTGCCAGACCGCGCAGTGTTCGACGCTGCGCTCTCCTAGTACTGTACACCGTGTACGGTCGCGCCCCACTGCTGCGCCCTGTTTAACTCGCGGCTCTTCTCGCTTCTCTCCGCAGCCCCTGTGCGCCCAGTTCTGATGTGCACTCGAGTGTGCGCTGTTGAGACATAGCCATCGAGAGGCCTCATTATCATTTTTGTTCCTCCACTTCTCCTCCATCCCTGTTCCTCACAAACAACTCCTCCCTGTCGAACCCTCAGACGGGTCGGTCGGATTGGCTGGGCGTTCCGCCTGGCTTCCTCGCCACTGGCGGGTCATAAGCTTGAAATGTGCAATAGCTCCAAGCATGGAAGGCGGGTGGTTATCATCATGTGGCTCTCGCCTTTGGGCGCGGGAAGGCGCGAAAGGAGCGGATTCGCAGCAAACGCAGCGTGTCCTGAGCGAAGAACCGGCGACGGTGCGAGTGTCCGCGCGGAAATTGTATAGACAGATATAAGAGACCGTGATTGCTGATGTCCTGAATCCTATCTTGGAGTCTTTCGTGCGCTTATTCCAGCTTCGCTCCTGCTGCGCCTTCCTGGAATCCTCTGGGTGAAGGCCAGGGGCTCTATAGACGGTCCAGGGTGCCAGTCGGTGTTTTCTGAAATTTGTGCGACCTGCGTTGAAGGCTAAAGCCTCCGGAGTCACTATGTGGCCACATTGGGGGCGTTCCTTGCTCTAGGGGGCTCGGAGGAACCTTTTCGACGATCCGATCTTGTGTTGCCTCCGTCTAGAACCCTTTCTACGGGGCCCCCTGGGGCTCTAGGGTCGTCTTGGGGCCCTCTGGGGCTCACCGGAGTCCTCTTCGGCAATGTGTGGCTGCTTGTGGCTGTCTTGCACGTCTCCTGAGGCTGTGTTGGAGCCCTCTTGGCGCTGCCCTGTTGGGGAGTCTCAGGGCTAGCTGAAGGCCCTCGGTGGGCCGTCTTGAGGCGATCTAGTGGGCCTCTCGCGCTATCTTGGACTCTCACGACGCCGACAAAGCGAGAAAACGAAAGCCCCTCAACAACCATAGGATAATCAATTGTTTTGCCTCTCGGAATCCCTCTTGGGATCTTTCTTTTTTTGCTTTTTTTTTGGTAAACAGCAGGGTAGAGACGCCAAATGTGCCCAAACCACCAATCGGCGCGCCAAATGCGCTCCAGCAGGGTAATCATGCGGTCGGGTAGCATCAGAACAATGACATGAATTCTGATGACGATGAAACCACGGATGATATTCACATGGGTGGTGCTCCGGAAATATTCTTCCTAGAAAACGCGCACCTGAATTGCCAACAGCAGAGGCAGGTCAGGCAAGTTTGGGCTTGGGCCCCTGAAAAAAGCCTCAGGATTGAGGACTGAGGCTACTCCTCCCTCCTCCTCCCCTGCTCCTCCTCCTCCTAATCCCTTGCGGTCTGATCTGAAACCAAAGAGGCTGTGCTCCCGTGTCAAGGATGGCTAAAATCGAGGTGCTGCGATAAAAGTGTCCACTGCCTAACTGCAGATGCGTCGCCTGTCAAAGTTGCTTTCGAGAACGTGTCGAAGATGAGTTCAGAATGAGAGTGCACATGTGTATCCATCCACTTCTCATAGCCTTCGGGATACGGTTGGTAATGCTTTCCTTCTCTGGCTGGGCAGGCCATGGATCGCAATGAGATTCCTTGCCGATTAATTTAGACAATGTCGAAATCTATTTCCCTGTTCCGTTTTCCAGTAGATCATCATACCAAACACCAACTGTTTTACCAACAGGTTTCATCCATGCAGACACATTCGCTAAGTTAATCAACTTATCAGCGCGCAGACCCAACATATCGTTGTAGGGTTTTCTACTTCCTCGCGGATGCAACTCATAGAGTGGGCAGTGGCTTGAATAAGGCCCCCGATGTACACATCCCTTGCAGGGTACTCTATCTGTGCAGGTGGCATTGTCACTCGGTACCTCCATGGTCCATGGCTTCGTTACGAATTCCTCCCAAGGAAGCCCTCGATGTGCTGGTGCATGCCATGGTCTGTGGCGCATACCCATCACCCACTCCAACGGCTTCCGCATGATGATGACAGTTGCTTCGGAACGCTCAAGATCCTCGGGCCTTGCCCGCTCCTCCCACTGGAAAAAATGCTTCCAGTCACTGATGGCAAGGCTGACAGACAATTGAGGCAAACAACCACTCAAATGCCCTGCAGTTCAATTCGTGCCGCTCTCTCGTTCTCCAAGTAATGTGATGAACTTGTTACTGGACGACTGTTTTGTGAGCGGTCCTCCCGCCCCGAAGTAAACTGACAAGTCATCGTCCATGATTTTACGATCCCAGCATATTGGTGTTTCACTGCCGTGGTAGAGCTCATTGTCGTACGGCGCAGGCGTATCTACAAGTGATAGGCCACTGCTGGATGAAACTATTTAAAAACGGTTAAACAAAGCTCAAGCAACATTGTAATAATGCAAATGCCAGATACTAGAACACGTACGACGGGGAGACCACCAACACACACTTGAATCAAAATGGCTACGGAAGAATCCCTCTTGGGATCTTTATGTGACTGCTCTTGGCGTCTTGGAGGCCTCCTGGCCACTCAAAACCTCTTGGGGCATGGAGCCACCTGGAACCTTCCCTGGCACCCACACGGAGAAAACGTCATCCCTTCGGTTGTACCGCGGGAAAAGGACATGCTATCCATAGCTATATACACACCTATACGATCACCCTTCAGGTAATGCACCATTGGGACACAACTGGGGCATCATCGGGACACCATCGAAACACTATCTCGACTCCATCGGGGCACCATGTGGACACCATGTGGACACCATGAGGACGCAATCGGGGTACCATGTGGACACCCATCGGGACACCATGTGGACACCGTTGGGCACCATCAGGACACCATGTGGACACCATCGGGGCACCGATCGGGGCACCAGTGGGAAATCCTCGAAATATAACCCGGAGGGGCACCTGAAGACACTGCGGAGCATGCTACCATCTAGTCACCATGCGGACACTATCTTGACACCATGTGGACACCATCGGGACACAATGGAGACACCATGTGGACACCATACTGGAACACAATCGGGACACTATCGGGGCACAATGTGGGCACCATCGGAGCACCGTCGGAACACCATCGGGGCACCATATGGACACCATGTGGACACCATGTGTCCATCGGGACACCATCTGGACACCATCGAGGCATCGCCGGGACACCGCGTGGACAACATTGGGACACCGTGTGGACACCATCGGGTCACCATCGGCACAATGTGGGAACCACCGGGATGACGTCGGAACAACATCGGGACACCATGTGGACACGATCGGGGCACCATGTGGCCACCATCAAGACACCATTGAGACACCATGTTGACAACATGTGGACGCCATCGCAATACCAACGCCATCGGCTTACCATCGAGACATCATCGGACTACCATCGGGACATCATCGAAACACCATGGGGACACCACGATGACACAATCGGGATACCCATCCGGACACCAACCTGGACACCACCAAGACACCATCGGGACACCATCGGGAAACCACTAAGACACAATCGGGATACCGATCAGGACACCAACCGGGACACCACCAGGACACCATCGGGGCACCATCGGAACACCATCGGGACACCATCGGGACACCACCAGGACACCATCGGGGCACCATCGGAACACCATCGGGACACCATCGGGACACCATCGGGACACCGGTCCGTCGGTCGCTGTCGTCTGTCTTGTTGGTCGTGTCTGTCGCGTGTCCTGGACCTAGCTGCCCTGTGTGGCGGCGGCGCTCTCGGCCAGGTTGCCGTGGCGGCGTTGCTGTTGGCGGCCTGTGTGGCCTGAGAGTTTCTTGCTCCGCGCAGTCCTGTTGCCCGCAGGTGGTGGTGGGCTGCGTGCGGCTGTGCCCGCGCGGGCCGTTTCTGGCGCCCGCAGCGTGGTGGCACGGCGCAGGGGAGGCAACCAACTAGGCTCTGCCAGTGATCCTCGCTTATGCCGAGGGCGAGGCAACCAAATAGGCTCTGCCGGTGACCCCTGCGCAACGTGGGTCCCTGGCCTTGCTGCCAAACCCCAGGCCCGTGCCCTTGCTGGCCAGCGCCTCCCTCGTCACTGGCGGGCGCTTGCTCGTCACGTTCGCCAATGTGCAGGGGTGCCTGGCGCATGCAGGTCCCTGGCCCGTGCCCTTGCTGGCCAGTGCCTTGCACAAATGGGTCCCTGGCGCAAGCCAAACCCAAGGCATGTGCCCTTGCTGGCCACCGCCTTCTTTTCGCAAGCTGGCGTCCCTGGCTGCCGGTTGCTTGCGGCCCTCGTGGCCGCGCCCCCAAGCCCGCGCCCTTGCTGGCCAGTGCTCTTCACCTGCGCGGGGGCTGCTGCAGTCTCGTCGCAGGTCTTCCGGCCAGGGCCGCTCTTTGCTTGCTCCTCGTCGCTGGTGTGTTGTTTTTGTGCCGGCTGGCGTGCCTTCGTCTGCGTTTCCTAGCCTGCGTCGCCGGTTCTTTGCGTTAGTGCCCCTCGCCGCCCAGTTGCTGTGCCCTGGCGGCTGCCGGGCCTCTTGCCAGCGACCCCGTCGGCCCGGGCAGGTGCGTGCAGGTCGCCTGTGCGCTGTGGCGTTCTCTGGGCCGCGCCCAGTATTGCATTTGGGGCGTGTTTCTGCGCGTTCCATGCAAGCGCGGCCAGTATTGCTCTTGGGGTGCGCTGGCGCGCATGCGTGCGCGGGGAGGACGCGGATTCGTGCGTGTTCTCAGCAAAAGCCATGCGTGGTGGCACAGCGCCGCTGATTTGAGGTTCGGCGTTCGTTTCTTGCGCGGTCTCGCGCGTTCAAAACGCAATTGTTAATTGCGTGTGTTCTAGCAATGGCGCAACATTCGAATGTGCGCGACCTCGCCGAATCGGCGCGCGCAAGGTGCAAAGCGCGGTCTCGCGTTTTCTTTCTGCGGCGCAGACGCGCCCAGCGTCGCAAGTGGCGCGATTTCGCGCCTGTGGCCGCATTTCGCGACCAGCGATTTGCGCGCAATCCGCGCGTTTGCGGGAAGTTTCGGCCCGGACTGTTTGGTTGCTTTCGCGTCGTCGGGCGCGAAAGCTGGGATCTGCGCGCTGGCTGGCTGCAGTCGGGCCACCGCGTTGTCCGAAACCGCAGGAGCCAGACGGAGAGGCTACGGACACTCTGGGCACTCGGGGCCGGATGTGTGCAGGCGGCAGAAGCCAGTCCTTAATGGGGGGGCATTGGCTAACCCCCCACCTGCACACAACGAGGGCGGGGGTGCTTTTGCACTTGTGCAGCACTCCCGTCCTCGACCGACTCCGGGGGGCCTGCGCCCCAAACGGCGCGTAGTCGGAATATCCATGCTGACGCCCTCTCACCAGCGAGCTCAGAATTAAATTCTGGTGTGGCTGCTGAAAATTCGGCAGCTGGGGCTGCAACTGGGAGGATTTCCCACGGGAATTTGCCCCATCGGATTTCGGAAATTTTTCGGCCCAGAAGGAGCTTCAGGTCGGCAGAGTGAACAGGCTGCCGAGTTGGCGCGGGGTCGGCCAGCAGTGCCATGTAGCGAGGGACGTGCGCAAGCCCTCTCGCAGATCGTCCGAATGGACACTGTCGCCTAATTGGGCGCTCCATCCATCATGTCATTCTATCTGTCTTTTCGGTTGGCTGCTTTCTTGCATCGCACGCTCCGATGGGCAGTTTGTGTCAGCCCGGCCTCCTACGACGCCGTCTGCTGGCCTGGGTGGTGCACTCAGGCCGCAGAGGGGGATAGGAGGCGGGAGGGTCTTCTGTTATTTCCCTGAAACAGCAAGCACGTCGCCTCAGCGCCGGTCACTGGATGTGCGGCTGCCTTGCGTCCCTGTTGCCTTTGAAGCTCGAGTGTTGCAACGGCGCATTGCCCAGTTGGCTGTCTGTGCGGTTCTTTGCCTCTTCCAAAGAGCAGCATGGCGTACACTCCTGCAGACATCGTGGCAGATCTGGCCACATTGCCCGAAAGTGCTTTCGCTGGTGCGTCCGTGGACTCGCGGAACGCGTTCGTGGAGTTCGCGACGTGCGTGGACGAGAACGCCCGGGCAAAACACGACATCCGGTTTTACACTGGTGTTGCGCGTGCCATGGCTGAGGTGGTTCAATCCGTGCACACAGAGGATTTCGCAAACGAGTTCATCCGTGACAGTCTGCGCACCGGGTTGACGGTTGGGGACAAACCCTTTTCAGAGGAAGGCTGGAAAGAGTTCACACTCACATCTGCCATGATGGCTGTGGCACTTCGTGTGCAGAAGCGTTGTCAAGCCAAAGACATGAAGGAGCAGCCAGCTGCCTCTGGCACGTCCTCTGGCTTGGAGCAGGCGATGGAAAGTTTGTCAATGCGCAAACAGCTGCTGTCACGCCGCCTGCGAAGCTCGGTCTTTCCTTTGACCTGGCCAAACGCTTGGCCAAGGTGGGCCTCGAGAACTTTCCACAAGATGGCTTGCCCTCCGAAGAGAATCTGGCGAAGTTTGAGCAGGCAGGAAAAATCGCCGCTTCCAAAGGCCGGCGGTACGTTGGCAGTGCAGACGGGGAATGCCTCCAAACGCACCACAGGCCCGAGTGGTCGCGCACGCCAGTGGCGCAGGTCGCCCCGACAATCGGCTCTCTTGAAGATAAATTGAAGGCAGTGTTGGACGAAAAGAAAGCCAGAGAAAACGAACTTAAGTTGGATTACATGGGCTTCGCTACCTTTGTCGGTCACATATTCCAATGGGGCATCAAGTGCGTGCTCATGGAAGTGTGCACTCAGACAGATTTGCTCGCGTACATTTTCAACCTCTCCCATGGCTCGCTCTTTGGAGCGGGGCGACGAGAGCGTGTCCGACTTCTTCTGCAAGCTGGACGACGACATGGTTCGAAAGGCAGCGGACAAGGTGAAGCAGCGTGGCGAGCAACTCAACAAGTTCACTGCTAAGTCTGTTGCGACCGGCATCTCCAGCGCCTGCGGCAAGGGCGGCAAAGGCAGCGGCAAGGCGGGGTTCCCCAAAGGCGCCGACAAGGGCGAGTCCAAGGGCAACCGAAGGCCCCCGAAGCGGCAGCGAGACGATGACATTGCGTCCTGGGGCAAGTCGAGCCAGTGGCAGGGCTGGAAGAAGCAGTACAAGAAGTGAGCTGGTCACGACAGCTCCGATAGCGACGCACCCGAGGAAGACGACAGCGAATCGGAGTTGGATGGACGCGTCCGGTTGGAGACCGGCGTTCCCGATTCTGCTGCGCGCTCCGCAGAACGTAAAGATTTCCTTTACGAGTTTTGCGCTGCGGTGCGCCATTTAAATTCTGACAAGGCCAGGTGTGCAACGATGTGTCCGGCTGATCACTTTGAATGGGCGCTCGCGTTGCCACTTGTCGTCCCGGGCATTTGCTTGCCTGAGATTTTTAAGAATGCGCTTTGCAAAGCTGCCGACATGTCGCCGGCAGAACTGCATGAACACCGCGCAAGTGCTGTGTCTGATTGGGAAGAAAGGAAACGTGTGACGGACCCACTCTGGCTGCAAACGTTCTCTCGTTTGCCTTTGCAGTGCCAGAGCGTTTTAGGTCCTGAAAAGAACCTTTTCTTGTTGAGGGAGATGCTAGAATATATCAGCTGGCCAGACGCCGAGCTTGTGAATAGTTTAGCTTTCGGTTTCCCGATCGTAGGGGATTTGCAGCCGAGCGGGATTCAGCCTGCCAGGGCTGTGAGTGTCTCCGCAACGACGGTGGAGGAACTCTATCAGAATTTAGATGAACGCAACGCCTGCACTTTGAACAGGGTTCGTCGTTCCATAGTGCCTGACCAAGAACTTGCAGAGGCGTTCCGCACCAAATGCTTGCAAGAAGTAGCAGAGCGTAAGGCTCACTGGGTTTCGCTTTCTCGCCATCGCTGTCTTTTAACAGCCCGATTCCCTGTCGACGAAGGTTGGCAGGAACAGAGCGGCCGTAAGCGTCGCAAGGTGCGGTTGATCGACGATTTCACTGACAACGGTGTGAACAGCGCCACAGCGATCCCCGAGGAGATGCACCACGATTCGCTTGACACTTTAGTCGGCGTCGCGCGGGCGTGTGTAGGTGGTCATCCCGGCGCTACTTTCCTTTTCAGGAAAGATGATTTCAAGTCGGCTTTTAAAATGCTGCCGATTCGAAGCGAGCATCTGCATTTTGCCGTTGCAACTTGGGCTGAGGCAGAGCGCAGTGATAGAGGTTTGCAGCTTCTCTCGTGCCCGTTTGGCTCGGCTGCGTCTGTATTCGCGTGGCATCGCTTTGGCAGTGCTGTCCAGGCCCTGTTGGCTGTCGTCTTTTTGGTCGTGCAGCCGCGGTTCGTGGACGATCTTTTCGGAGGCGATGCGGCCCTGGATATTGCAAACAACGGGGCACATACAGGACCCAGAGGAACTGCAAATTTGGCGCGAAAGCTCGTAGTCGATTTGCTAGGGTGGAGGTTGGACGACGCGAAAGCAGCCACAGAGGCCGACCAAACAGTTGTCTTAGGAGTAGCGGCGAAAGCTTGCCCAAACGGCATGTGGTTTTGGATCGGCGAGGATAAGAAAGAAAAGTGGCTAGCTCAAATTCGCCAGGCTTTGCAGGCTAATTCGTTGTCCCCCGCAGGTGCGGCGAAGTTGGCTGGGCGTTTAAGCTGGGGCGCCACGGCAGTGTTTGGCAGAGGTGCGAGAGTATTTCTCGCGCCGCTGTTTTGGCATGGCAAGTGCGGCCGCGCAGTGCTGACGCACCGGGTGCGCAGTGCACTGCGGTGGTGGGAGCGATATTTGTGCTCAGCCCCGTCGGCTTTTGCTAGTTTCCGGCAGCCGTGCCGTCAGCGGTGCATCCTATACACGGATGCAACGGGCGGGGGACAGCTTGCGTTCGTGCTCGTGACACCAGCCCGTCGGGTATGGGCAGCGACGGCTGTCCCGGCCGCGGCATGGTCATGGGCGTTGCCCCGACGCACGCAGGTCACGCTGTGGGAACTTCTCGCTGCCGTGTGGCGTGCATTTTTTCTTGCAGCAAGCCGTGGCGCACCCAGAGCTGGTGGTGTTCATTGACAACACTACCGCGTTGCAGACTCTGCTGCGCGGATGTTCGAGACAGGCCGATTTTAATGCAGTATTGGGGTCGGTCTGGTTCGAGCTGGCGCGAGCGAATGTTCTAATGCATGCTCACTACGTGCCATCTGCGTTGAACCTGGCGGACGGCCGACCCGTGCGAGCAAGGCCCGCGGGAGCCGCGCAACGCTCGAGAGTTTACATTTTGGACAGGTCGAATGGCCATGGCCGTCAAATCTCCCGTGGGCTGTGTGAGTGCATCGAGCGGGCTACCGAGGAAGAAAAAAATGCATGCGTTCTGTGAAATTGAAGCATTTGCTGCGGATGTGTGCGTGCATGACGTTCACCAGTGCGTTGTCCGTAGCTTTTGGCTCAGGTTCAGTATTCGCGCGCTTTCGTTTTGGATGGCGTTGCGTTTCCTGAACGAGAGCAGAGAACAATGGCAGCGTCGCCATGCTGCCCCTGGCGCGCCGTCTGGAGCAGAAGGGTCCGAGAGAAATGTGCCGCATAACTCTGTTACGGAAGAGTTTCGGGCGTTGCTCGGAAGGGCGGCTCTGGCCGCGAGAAGACCTTTCCCAGCTCCTGGCGCGGGGGCCGTGGCTGAATCTCTGCAGAAAGAAGGGGCCGTGGCGCCGAGCGACTTCGGCGGATTAACCGTGGGTGAAGCGGCAGAAGTGTGGTCGGCTTTGCAAACACTGGACACAGCCATCGTTCAATACTTTCTCTAATTTTGCATGACAGTGGCCAACCGGGAGCTTGTCCATCATAGCGCGCCTCGGGCGGGCATAGCACATCTCAGAGGTGATCCGCGATGTGCCTTGCGCTCAAAATGCACGGCCCCTGCTCCGCCAGCCAGCGTCGCAGGCAGTCCGGCGCCGCTGCTGTCGAGGCTGCAGCGACCGCTTTGGCCATGATTTCCGAAGCGGCAAAACTCCGCAGGCCGCCTGCTCCTTCGGTTC